GCACACACACACAACACACACACACATATATATATATATATATAGCATGTGTGTATGTATGTATGTATGTTTATTTATATATGCTCTATAGGTATATGACATATATATATATATGTATATATATATATTCACGCAACCTTAGTCTGTGTGCATTGTGACCCTGTGATTTAATGCTAGCTGATTGTACGAATCGATATGATGATAATATAGAACTGAATCTAATATAAATATACAAGTTTGCTCATTTTGAATATGTTCTTTTTCTGGTCCTACATGTGGATGATAGGTTATTTCCTCCTTGTAGTATAAAAAAATAGTATTTTGTTCACACTGTAGATAGTTATATGAATAGGTGCATACACATATTTACTTTTTCATATGTACACACATCTTCATACAACTTCCTGGCTGCTTATATATATTTTCGATTAATACTCTATTCACACATATCTTCACGATAGATATGTGCATCCAGGCATACGTACCAACGTGTATTACAATAGACTTCTCAGTTCGTGACCATACACCGATGTTTAAAGGCTGACTCGACTACCTTCTAACTCACGCAGAGCTACACCGACGTGCGAATTGGGATACCGCCGAATACCAACCACGGCTCCAATCGCTGGCACTGAACAATCTTCACACAATGGTTCTACAGTCATACCTGTCGCAGTTCTCCAAGGACCCCCAACCTTATGTGGGCTCCACTATGACGTACGCACCCTCCGCATCCTCCAGTGGTGAGATCGTCTCCAGCCAAGTTCCGCCAATGGCTGCGATGGGCAGCTCTCAGACCCTCTCCAAAGCTCAGCCAAAGTCAGGCACGGTCAACAATGCCGGTGCTGGAGCAAAGCGCCGGGGCGATAGTGCGGCAGCCAACTACCTGTCCAGCGGTACAGATGTAGCCCAGCCGTTGGTAAACAACTTCTGGGAGATTATCAACACCCAAGACCGAGTAGACATGAATGCGCTCAATACGTCCGCCCAAGAAAGTGTGGGCACTGTAGCCACGGCCGATGTGTTTGGGTCGGCGCTCTCGCAGTCAGAGAGTCAACAGCAGCCACCACAGTCACAGGCGGTAGCCAAGCCAGCCGTGGCTATAGCTGCAGTGCTGAAAACGGGCGAGAAGAGTATCAAGAAGGTGTCCAAGCCCAAGTGCAAGCCCAAAAAACCTGCATCTATCGAGGCCGAGAGAGAGTCTACTATCGCCGCCGGAGCTACAACTACAGCGCAGAGTATGTAAATCAGGATTGGTGGTTATAGGAACTCGATCTGTTTCGGGTCGAGTGCTTTACAGCAACCCGATTCGTATTTTTATAATTTTTTTTTGGGATTTTGGATAAGGCCCTGACCTCGGTAAAGGATGCCGAACCAATTCCAAAGGAAAAATATCTTTCTGCAGGCGATAGGCCGGGTAGTGCGAGCTGACAAATAGTGTATATCTCAAATGTACTTCTAATCTTACAGCAATCTTAACCCGCCTTATACAGATTCGCCCATTCGTGCGGAACCCCAAGAACCTGAAAAGCCAAGCTTTTCCTATGCGACACTGATCGCCATGGCCATTAATGACTCGACTGATCGACGACTAACCTTGAGTGGTATCTACAAGTGGATAGAGGACCACTACAAGTATTACGACAAACAATCCGACAGCAGTTGGAAGGTATGTGAACGTTATCGATCCGTACGCATGAGCGCCACATAGCAGTTTTAAGTGTTGTGTGATATGATTTCGCTACAATCTTCTCGTTTGGAAAACGTACATCGGCCCATTTTAAATAATACAACTAATAGATTTAGTTTATCTGGATGCAAGGCTTTCAGATGCCCTTCTTACCACCTACTCGTTCTTGTTTATTTTCTTATTCTTTTTCTTTTTGTGGAACTGTGTGTCCACTTCACATCTGGTTGTGCTCCTTTTAAGTGCACGAGCAGCTTTCATTTAGGTGAATTAATGCAAGTCTCTCGTACTAACCCATCGACTATCCCCTCAGAACTCTATTCGGCACAATCTCTCTTTGAAGCCGTGCTTTTACAAGAGCCCACGTCAGGCCGATGAACCGGGCAAGGGCGCCTGGTGGAGCATTGACGACACTCAGATTGACGGAGGAAGATACTCCGCTAAACGCAAACGTCCGAGCAACTCGGTACAGCGAACGAATTCCGGTACTAAAATAGAGGCCGCTGAGACGGCAGGTGGTGCGGGCGATGCCAAGACGGCAAGAAAGAAAGCGGGGAAAGATGGTATGTACTGCGCAAGGCTGCGAGGGGTTGACAGGGGGTGTGTATATACTTGATGATGGTACATTTGAATTCTTGTTTTAAGGTTGCGGAGAAGCTTACCAGCGAAATCCCTACCATCAGCACCTCGTATGAAATGAAAACCCAGTTTGTCTATCTCTCAAAAATTGCTCACCATTCGTGTACCCTTTTATTTCTTTATAGGCAAACAAGTCACCAAGAAACCCTCGGCTGACTTAAAAGCACCAGCCGCCATAAAGACAGACGGCAGTCGAAGTAAACGGAAAGCCGGTACCAACGGTGACGCGTGGTCAGACGATCTACCCTCTGCGAATCGCCTCTCTACAGAAACGCCACAGATAACCTCTGCGAGTGCGAACGGAGTGTCGGCTGCATTCGCCACGCAGCAACAACTACACCAACAGGCGGTCAATGCTCAGCTACTGCTGAACAGTAAACAGCCGTCGATGGAGTTCGCGTGCATGACCGGCGCCAAGAATTTCATAGCTGGGGGTGCCGCTAATATCGGCACGTTCGGCTCCTATCAACTGGCTAGCACGAGTACGGGCGTGAGCGCATCTTACAGCAACCCCACCACAAGCATGGAAGATGACATCTTCAGCGGTCTCAGCATGGCAGACATTGAGAATATGAATATTAATGCGCCTCTTAACGGCCAAGGCGTATCCTTCACCAACGGCATGGGCAACAGTGGCTTCACCGTATCACCACAGCTGCTGCACGGCAATGAAAGCCCGCTTGCGGCGTGTAACTTGGTTGGCCACAACTTCAGCGATTGGGACGCCGAGGGGCTTCAAAAGTCAGGACAGGTAGGTGTCTGTGCTGCACGAGTGAACCTAGCCATTCTGTTCTATACCTGTGCATTCGTTACTTCTAGTATAACAACATCGATTTTGTGTAGTAGGCGCATTGAGCGCGCCCATGTAACATCCAATCGGTATTCGTCTCACTTGGGTATAGGATCCAGCCATAGTCACATAAGTCCCCCATTCGATAAGCGTATTGGGGGTGCATGCAACATTCACTTTCCTGGTTCAATGAGTGCTCTATTCGATTGTACACTCAAAGAACCCATATGCCGCTGTGGCAGTTACTAAGTCTTTCTGTCCCAATACTGCTCTTCACACACAGACGGCTCACAAACTGCTGGAACCATCCTACTCACAGCCCATCTCCACACCTTCAAAGCACGTCGACATCAAAGGGTTCTACGGACTCTATGACGATACAGTCGTAACACCGCCCGATAACCTGAGCCTGTGCGGTGATCACATGATCGACCACCACGAGCTATACAAGGACACACACACAACCGGGTTGCTCGATTTGGACTTTGCTCGGTCGGTCATGCCGCTGGGGGGTATGGATATGGACGACTACGGACACTGGGCTGAGAGCGAGAGCTTCACCTCTCGCACGCACTCCCGGGTCGTGAGTTCGAGTTTCGATTCGGCGTGCGACGGTACAGTTGCCACGCACACGGACACTATGGACGTCGTCAAGAACCGCAAGATGAGCACCAGCACCAACGGTACCAGCAGCCTGAACGATGACTTGGATATGTATCCCAGCGGACGGTCGCTCGCGTACGACTACTCGTGCGGCAGTAGCAGGGCGACCTTCTACGACAAAACGGGCGAAACAGAGCTCTTGGACTCGTGTCGAGACTGGATCCTGGGATGGGAAACCACCAACTGTGGTACCCCTGTGCGATTGAATAAGGCTTTGTAGGAGGGAAACGCCCTCGGATTAATAATAATAGTATTTATAGTTAAGTGCACACGGCTAAAGTAGGCCGTCACGGCAGGTTTCGACTGGAGGGCGGGGGCCCCTTGATGATGCGGTAGTATGGAGCTGCATGCCACCAGCAAAAGACACACCAGAAAAACATTGTGCAACAACGGCTGCTTTAATGTAAAGTTAGATTGTGGATTATGCGGGACTTCCCACCAATGCAAATCCCAAGCCATGATATGCTGAATGATAAGGGTGCAGAGAATGCGGGCCCGAAGAACCAGTCTAGCAGGCTAGATGAGAACAACATCAGCAAGCACAACGGGAGAAGAAGAAAATAGGCTAGACAAATAGCTTAGCAAGTTAGTTCATGATACAGTACCACGATGGCCTCTGTTTGTGGCGGACGCTCAGAAATTTTCAATTGGGAAGATCCTGAACTGAGCCATTACATGCTATATAAGGATATATATATATATATATGTATATATATTTATAAAAGCCTGCGCTTGGAAATTTTCGATTAGGAAGATCCCAAGCAGCAAGCTAATGTGCAGCTACAGCCCTTGTGTGGAAATTTTCAAACGAGAAGATCCCATGCATGGCCTGTGCTGCAGCAGACACTGTCTATGGCATTAAAAAGAACTTACAACTTGGAAGTGGTACGCTAATCGCAATACAAACTATATACCATACAACCTATTTTAATCGTGGTGGTCATACATCTTGCTGGAATACCGCTATCACAGTGATCTGTGGCTGAACTATCACACGCTTGAACGGTAGAAGATTTAATTTGATTACCAAATATATACCCACGGGGAATCCTCTGCGCTTGTATTCAAGGCACTAGCGCGCTTAACACCAGGTACAATATAGACCCGATTTTTACACCCAGTCCGCACCTAAATTAGTACTTTTGTTCATCTGAAAGTTTCTTTACAACACCAGAGACTCCAGATGTGCGTTGTCATTAACCACCAACATCACAGTCTGTTGCTTCGTGATCACGAGCTTCGATATGCTGGTGTTGCCCAGACGAAACCTCCACCGCGCGGCACCCTCAGTGTTCTCACACGTCCCGTCGTAGGCGCTCGGTCTCCCAGTGATCACATACAGTATAGTGGCAATGATCCCTCCATGGGCGAAGGCTATCACTCGCCCCGTTTCCGGCAGAGACGCCAGCCAATCCCTCGCACGTGTCTGTAGATCGTTTGCTGACTCCCCTCCAGGCACAGCTTCGTGGGCAGGCCCGGCTAACCACGTGGTCACTTGTGTGAGCTCGTCCTCCGACAGCGAAGCGTACCTCCGCCTTTGAAAGTCTGCAGTGTTGATTGAGTGTGGGAAGGGAGTGCGGGGTGAATGGCTAGGACCTCCAGGCAAAGCCGCTCGGTGTTACATCGTACTATACCGCGCGGGGTTGACGCATATTTAATCATGTTTTGCTCTAGAGATACGTCTTCTAGTAATCGAAAGGATACATACTGCCCTGCGTTTGGAGAGTCAGTATATCACAAGTCTTTCGATAAAATTTTGACAGCGAGCACGTCATTGACCTCTTGGTGATGCACATAGAAAGTATGAGCTATATGTGTGACTGGTCGAGGGCTCAATCTATCCATCGTATTCACAACTTGAAAAGCGTGCAATACATCTAAGGATCACGGTTGGCTCAAGGCTTGCCAGCTTTATGTGTATGGATGCCTTGGCCTTGGTTCCACCGGAGAGGTCACGATAAGGTAAGGAAGGGACTGACTACCCATTGCGCACGCAAGCGAGTATGATCACTATTGCTAAGATAAAAGATATCAATGAACCTATGTATAGTCTCACTAACCATGCGAAGCATCAGGGGGCTCCATCATACAAGTGCTTATCAGATTTCTAACTCCCTGGTCATTCCCCCGTGACAGACCAACTAGGACAAACCATGTCTCTAGTCACGGATACAAGACATTGAATGGAACGCATCAACACACGACTCATGACAGTCTAACTAGGCAATAGTGC